TCTGTACTGAGCAAAGAACTAATCAAGTGAAAATGGTAGCAAAATTTTATTAAAGGTAGGGGAAAAAACAGGCTTTGCAAAGCAAGTTTGGGTCAAGTAAAAATAGGAAAAGTATACCCTATAGCATAAGGGTGGGCCACCATGCAAGAGGAAACAGTGGCCAAAACTCAGTGTGGACTGTCGTTTTGGTATCACCACTTATCAGGCTGACTTCAGGTCTAGACCATTCTATTGAAAACCTGCTCGTCTTCTTGTGAGAAGTCCACATGCGGGGTTTAGGAACTATTTTATGCATGTGTACTGGGACCTTGTCACACCTCCTTTCTCAGCCACTTTTACCCATGCCCTACCTTCTGTCTTATATCCCTGAGAGATGCATATCCCCATAATTCCATATGGGGTGCTGAGGGAGTAGAGGTCTCTGGCATCTATAGCTTCTTTAAGCTGAAAGGGACTTTTTTTTTTTTTTTTTTTTTTTATTTTTTTTGTACCAGGGATTGAACTCGTTCTTTGCACTTACAAGGCAGGCGGTGGAACTATTGAGCTAAATCCCGACCCTGGAAGGGGCTATTGACCTAGCCTACTGGGGATTATGTGTTCTCCAGCTACCTTGGGGTGTTGTGCCTCACTGTTAGAAGACAGTAAGAATGAGTGATTGTTGAGCTGTCTGTTTGATAGGAGGAAGTAACTTTACTATTATGTTGGAGATGTAGAACCCACATATGAGGAGCAAGTTAGATTTCAATGCTTCTTGTGATGGACAAAGTATGACAAAGTATGGACAAAGTATGAGAGCTTGAGAGCCATAGCCTTAGCAAGATTATTCACATGATGGATCTAATTTAAAACAGGCCTCAGTATAGGTGTCCATTTAAGCTGTGGTGTATTAGGATCATTAGTGACTCTGCTTATCTATACCTAGAGAAATACTGGAGTCTTCCTTTCTGAAGCCTGTGAAAATTCTAGCGACCATTTCCCATGTAGGATTTTTATAGGTTGTCATTTTATCCTTTGGGAAAGGTCAAGAATGGTTCCTCAGGAGCTGGGAATAAGGCTAGGGTCTTGAGGGGCTGTAGAGCTTCCCTTCTTGCCTCTTTATCAGCCTTTTGATTTCTGAAGGAGTTTAAGCATATCCCTTTGGGATTCCTTGCAGTGAATGACAGCAATCTGTTTGGAAAGATAGACTAACAGTTGTGAGATCCCTGCATGTGTTCTACAGGTGATTGTTTATTAGTCAGAAAGCTCCTTCTTTCTAGATTGCTTCATGGACATGTAGCATCAAGAAGGCAAATAAGGTGTCTATATAGATATGTAGCGCCTTTTCTGAATACCAGTGCACATGTAAGAACTATGGCCTCCACTTCTGTTGTTTTTTGAGACAGAGTCTCATTATGTAGTTCAAGCTGGGCTCGAAAGCTTTTGCCATAGCCTCCCAAGTGCCAGAATTACAGGTGTGAGCCACCATGCCCAGCAAAGCAGAGGTCCCTGGTGAAAGTTGGCCACAATGATCTCTTATGAACAGACAGCTAAATAGGCTGTTTTTCAATGTCCTCTTTTTTTTTTCAAGGTGAAGTTAGTATTTTTTTCCCATTATTGGTTCATTTAAAGCAAACAATAGTTACATTTATTATTGGGATCTTGTACCTTTACATGATATGTCTTGGTTTTCCCCATACCCCTGCCCTCCTCAGTGTCCTTCTTGTCCATTACTTCCATCGTTGGACCATACATACCTCCGCAGGGTCTGGGAGGGACAGATCACTGATGTCCTGCCTGCCTCCCTAGGTCCAGGATATTACTTCTTCACAAGAGTGGCTAATTTCTGGGTCTGGAGGGATCACAGATGCAAGGTTATTAATAGTGCAAGTTTTATAATAACCTCAGCGGTATTGAAGAGCAAGCATTGTCTGCTACTTGGGAAGCTATTTCTCTCTTAAACACTACTAGCCCTTGGTCTCAAGAATCACTCTAACCTGACTAAGAGTCAGGACTTCTAGTTTCTGACCGATAGTTTTCCTCTGTTAGCATAGCTATAGCTGCTACTGCTCTCAGGCAGGGTGGACATCCAACAACCCCTCTATCTAACTTTTTGAAAAGTATGCCACTGGACAGAGTGCTTGTCTTAGCCCGTAGTTCAAGACACGCGAAGAAATTCCTCTATTTTCTGATATGCAGAGGAAGAAAGGTTTTCTTAAGTCAGGTATTTTATATTTTATAATACATGGAGCAGGATCCACCTGTTGTCTAATTAGATAGGGAGACCTGATGTAGTCTCAACAGATGAAATCTTGGCTTTTGTTATAATGTGAGGATTGTCTCCAATTTTGCTATTAAATTTCTCCTAGCAAGGGAATAGGACACTGGACAATTAGAAACTCATTGTTAAATATTTGTCCTTCAAAGTGACATATCAGAGCAGAAATAAAAGTCTCTGACTAGGACCCCAACTATGGCTGTGGATCTAGAGGATAGTTTTCCAGAGAAGTCGAGACAGAATGAAGTAATTGAATTAGCTCACCTATGACACCCCACATTACCTAGGGTTCCTCACAGGAAATAATGATGTTTGTGGATGGGGCATTGTAGGTTCTCTTAGGCCTCTTCAGAGTAGGAAACTAGGGTTTTGGCTGGCCTAGCCCCTCTATGGGAGCAGGGACAGTCAACCCTCCCGTGCCATGAGTCAGGCGCACTGACTGCCTCACACTTGGAGCAGGGCCCAGGCAGTGGCTTGGTGTAGTCATGTGCCCAGTGTCTAGTCTTACTGTCCCTGATCATCTTTGTATTTTCCCTTATACAATTTGGGTGAGTTTAAAGCATTGCCGATTATGACAGCTATAATTCTAGCTTTTATTTTTTGTTTTTATTTTTGGGGTTTTTTTGGCACCGGGGGTCGAACTCAGGTCTTTGTGCTTGTCAGGCAGGTGGCAGAACCACTGAGCTAAATCCCCAGCCCAACCTTTTATTTTTTGACCCTTCTCAAGATCCCAGTTGTTGAACACAGAAAACGCTAAGTCCAGCAATTGTATCATAGGTGTCTGGGGTCCCATTTGAAGTTGCTTCATTAAACAGGTGGGAGAGACCCATCTGTCCCTGATAGACAGAAGGGGATCCAAGGACAGGATCATCAAATACATCTCTCTTTTCCTCAGCTGTGATAAAGTCACAAAAGCCTGAATATGAGTGATTTCTATGGTTTAATTTTTTTTTTTTTTTTTTTTTGGTATTTGGGGATCACACGACCTTGTGCTTGCAAGGGAAGCGTGGTGCCACTGAGCTGAATCTCTGGCCCTGGATTTCTGTCTTAAGCAGAAACAGTTTAAGTGAAAAACAGTCTCATAGTTTAAACTGCCACCATGCACCAAACTCAGTGGCAAAAACAGTATGGGTTCTCCTTTTTGTGTCATGCCCTCTTCACACTGACTTCAGGTTTAGGACATCCCATCAAAAACCTGCTGTAGGGCTGGGGATTTAGTTTAGTGGTTCCAGCACCTGCCTTGCAAGCACAAGGACCCGCATTCGATCCCTTCTACCAAAAAAAACCCACAACAAAACTGCTGTAGTTCTTATGAGAAGTCCATTGACAGGTTTTGGGAACTGTTTTGCACATATATTCCAGGAACTTGTCATGCCTCTTTTCCCACCAATTTTAGCCATACCCTACCTTCCTGTCTCACAAGCAAAACAGACCTACCAGGAAGGACTAAGGCAGGCAGAGCTGAAAGGAGATGAGGTTTCTGTACAACACATCAGGAAGAATTATCTGAGATGTTGAGCAAAAGTAGAACTTTGACTTAACTTTATCAGGCTCTAACTCTATTTTTGTTGTAGAGAGTGTAATTTCTGGTAACCCAAAGGAAAAGCTATTCCAGTTTGTGGCCCCCATGCTAATAGTGTAAATTAGTGGTGGTGAACCTATGCCACATGTACCACAGTGGCCTTTTGCATCATTGAAAGCTATAAAAGGCTTGCCATCACTGGTGTGAATCCCTTTTTTTTTGTTATTGTTACCGGGGATCAAATTCTAGTCCTTGTGCTTGGGAGACAGGCAGCGGAACCACTGAGTTAAATCCCCAGCCCTTTTAAATGATTTTATTTTATTACACTGTAATCAAAATATGTCATTTGTAATATGTTTAGGCACTGATTTTTTTTTTCGAGACAAGGTCCTACTGTGTAGTTCAGACTGGCCTTGAACTCAGTATGTAGCGCAGGCTGACCTCGAACTCACAGCAATCCTTCTGCCTCAGACTCCCAAGTGATGAGATTACAGGTGTGTGCCACCATGCATAGCCCTGATTTTCTTATGTGCATTAGTATAATCAATTTTTGTGATTTTAAAATATGCTTAATAAGTTTTATTATGAGGATTGGTGTGTATCCAAAATAACCACTTTTTTTCTTTGGGTCTTGGGGATTGAACCCAGGGTCTTCCCCAATACTGTTTTGAGACAGTTCTCACTAAATTGCCCAGATGGGCTTTAACTTGTGATCCTCCTGCCTTAGCCTCCCAGAGTGCTGGGATTACAAGCATGAGCTATCACTCCTGGCTCAAAATAACTTCCTTAGTTTCAAACTCCCAAGCTGAAAGTAATCATTTTATATCACAAACATATTCTAATTTTAAAAACTAACTTATTGATTGTGCTTTTTGGATCTTTGATGTCTTTTGTCCTTTTGGTTATTTTTTTTCTTTTGTTTTTTGTCTCCTGTTTTTTTTTTTTATTGAGTTTATTGGTACATTTTGTCTCCTATTTTAATTTTTTTCTATTTCTTTTTTGTATCTCCCATAACTTTGTAGTTCAGTTATTTCATACATTAATATTTATAACATATCTTCTTTGTGTAAACATGATCACTTTGATCTAAAAGCCTGCCAAATTAGAAAAAAGAAAGCTTTCAATTTAGTGTTGGTTGTATAAGAACAATGAAACATTTGAATTGTCCTACCTCCTACTCTCATTTCCTCCAAAAAAAGCCTGTTTTTATTTTTCAATCAACAGTGGTGAAAGCTCTGTCTGCAGACTCACTGGAAGAAGATTTTGAGAAGGAATTCTCATTTCTTAACAGTCTCCTAACTCTTGGTTCTTCAAGCACTAGTGAATTTGTCCAGGAATTCCAGACTTCCTGTGGGAGCCCCACCGCAAGTTTCACATCCCAGGAGGCTTCTGCGGGGTCTGAGCCTCTTGCTCGTTCCTCTCAGTTCTTTCCTTCACAACTCTTTGACCTTGGTCTTCATGCTGCTGGAGCTTTGAACAGTAAGTGTCAGAAATATTTGGGCCTATCCCTTATTTTACCTTTATGAAGCAGAACTGTGTGCTTGTTGATGCTTAGAATCAATAAGGAGATCAATTTTAACTTTAGTACTACTAGATAAAATCTGCAGTAACACAGTAAACTGGAAAAATACCAATTACAAGTGCCCCTGCAGTCTACCAATACCAATACTGATACAAGGCGGGAAAAAAAGACTGATACAAGGGCTGTTTGCTTGCTACATCCACTAAACTCCTGTGGTCTTCCCTGACTTTCCCAGGTGTCTTTTTTTTTTTTTGTACCAAGGATCAAACTGGAGTTCCTGTGCTTATGAGGCAGGTGGTAGAACCACTGAGCTAAATTACTGGCCCCCCCAAAAATATTTTAAAGCACCCTTGGCTCCAGGATAAAGCTTGCTTTTCTTTTCCCTTAGGTTATAGGTTTTTCTCTAGATGTCCCTCCAAAGCCTCATGCACACATAGGTTATACTTCTGAGAGGTGATTGGATCATAGGGGCAAAATACCCATCAGTGGATCAGTCCACTGATGAGTTTACAGTGGATCCTCGAGTTAAAACCAGCCTGACATACCAACAACTTGGATTATGACTACAATTTTAGTTTTAACTTATGAACAAAGTTTTGGGTTACCTCCTGAATGCCAGCCACTTGTGCTTCCAGATGGTCTCAGATACCCTTAGAGTTTTGGAAGGAACATTAAAACATACTTTACTGTGTGGGGTTGAGAAATCCTGGGACAATCTCTAATCTCAGTGTTAGGTGAAAAGAGCTGAAAATCAGGACCAGACCAGAACCATAGCCTTTATTATGGGAAGGATCTGCTGAGCTGTCTCAGAACAAAGGAGGAAAAAGCAACATGGCAGAACAAGGAGCTTCTTTTATAGGAGTGGGGTGGTGTTAGCCTGAGTAGGGGTGGAGTTGATGAGGTAGCATTAAGAGATTGGAGGAACCTGTGATATCACTAGGAGGGGCTTGTGACATCACTAACTTCTAGGAGGTAGCAAGTATCAGGTTATTTTGGCGGGAGAAGAGGCATGATGGGAAGAAGTCTGTCCTTTGTTGGGAGAAGTCATATTTTGACATGAAGGCTGCTATTCCATGTGACAGCCATCTTAAGGAAGGAAAATCTTAACAGTCAGTGAGATCTGCCTATATATGGGTCAGAGACTTTGAAGACTGTATAGAGGAGACTGAATTTTCAACTGACCAACGTGAGTTACAACCAGCCCTCGAGAACAAATTTGATTTTGTAAGTTAAGGGTCCACTGTATAAATAAAAATGATGTTGGGAGCTGAAGCCTGGTTAAAGGAGATGGGTCATTGGGGTGTTGCCTGAAAGGGTCTATCTCCCTGCTTCCCTTGATCTCTATGCTTCCTGTCTGCCATGCTATGAGCAACCCTTCTCTGCCATGCCCCTCTTTGATGCCCTGCCTTGGAGTCAGCTGATTTTGGACTGAAACCTCTAGAAACAGTGAGTCAAAATAAATCCTTCCTCCTTTAAATTGTGGGTGTCAGCTATGATGTTTCAGCAATAAGAAAGTAACTACTAGACAGTTTATTTCAAAACACTTAACCATTTCTATCAGTATACTCAGGGCTTCCAAATATCTCTGAGGCATCTTTGTGTTGCTCCTCTGGTTTATGATATTCAGTAATGGAGCTTGGACATGACCTCGAGTATTAGGATTCCTAATGCATTGTTTTCTGCACATCAGCCCATCCTTAAGTTCTTTTGGAGTAATTACTTCTCCAGCCTGCATCATGCTATTTTATGTTTTGTTTTGTTTTGCCTGTGGTCATAGTTTATCTTGCCTTATGTCCCTGTCTCTCACCCTGTAGATTTTATCCTCTAAAAAACTCCACAGCACCTACCAATGTTTTAATCCCTTTGTATTAAAATACTACGTTCAAGCTGGGCATGGTGGCACACGCCTGTCATCCAGCACTGGGGAGGCTGAGGCAGGAGGATCACTGTTGAGTTTGAGACCAGCCTGGGCTACCATAGTGAGTTCCAGGTCAGTCTCAACTACATAGTGAGACCCTGTCTCAAAAAAACACAAAAAACTGTGTTCAGCCAGGGATTTAGCTCAGTGGTGCCATGCCTGTCTCTCAAGTGCAAGGTCCTGAGTTTGATCCCCAATACCAGAAAAAAAAAAAAAAAAAAAAAAAAAAAAAAAAAAAAAAAAAAAAAACTATGTTCACACTGTAACCAGTTTCCTCCCTTTAGTTGGATTCTTCTCCTGAGGGTGACAAAGATAAAGGCAACAGGATACAGCAAGTAATGGGGAGTGACTGGGTGTGGTTTATTAGAAAACAGAGACAAAAGCTGTCACTAGATGAGGGAGGCAACAGGATACCTAGGAAAAGCCTGAACCTAAAAGCTTATACACACAGCTCTTTGGTGCACACCACAGGGCAGACACAGGGGAAGAGGACAGGTTTGTTGCTACTGTGTGTAAGGCTTCCCATTGCCAGCAGATTCAATCAGATCTTTGTTTTGCAGCTCCAGCTTCACTTGAAGCTTATCTCATCTTGCCTTCAGTTTATTCAGTTTAGTTTGTTCAGGCCTTTGCTCTTTGTCCTTTTATTTTCTGGTCTCAACCTCTGCCCCCCACACACATAGTGGCAACATTTAACTGCTGTTAGTGGCATTCACTGGAACTACTTGCAGGTGAGAAAGGCACTGGCAGGGGAGCCGTCAGAGCCCATCCCTGTCAGGCCTATTTAAGGGTCCTGTGGAGAAGTCAGAAGGAGGGCCCATTGGTGGATCTGTTTGTATCACCATCTGTAGTTTTAAAGCTATACATCTACAGGTTCTATATTCTAGATTTGACCAACTTTAAATTGAAAATATCCAAAAAAGTTGTTTCTGTAATGATCATGTACAAACTTGTTTTTGTCATTGTTGTAACAATATAGTGTAACAGTGTTTTATATAGCACTTACATTGCCTTGGGTATGAAAGGTAGTTTAGTGATGATTTAAAGTAATGTATATTAAGAGGAGGTGTATAGGTTGTGTATAAACACTATACCATTTTATATAAGGAACTTGAGCACCTGCAGATTTCAGTATCCACAAAGAAAACAACTGCAACTGGTCACCACTGGATACCAAGGGGCCAATGTGCCAGACTTGCTGCACATTGTACAGTTACCACAGAGTTGGGCTCAGATGTCAGTTGAGGCAGTCTGATTTTAGAGTTTTATATCTATGTGCATATTTCTCACTATTTTAGAATGGCTGGCATAAAAGCAACTTTTTTTTTTGAGGAATAGACATAGCCTAGCCTTTCTTTGCAGTTAGGAAGTCATCTGTAAGTTTGATTTTTAAAGGATCTTTATCTGATGTGAATTATTTATTGAAAGACGGTAAGTTTTTTATTTATAAACATGTAAGTTTTAGTTTTAGTTTTAACCATAGAAGACTGAGGGCCCTGTGTTTTTAAAGGACAGTTCCAGCTAAGGAATTAAAATTACTTTTATACCTGTTCCTGAGGCTATTTAGCTTCACTGAGCCATAATAGTGATAGACTTCAACTAAGATGGTCAGCAGGAGCCAGTATAATACTTGGAACCCATTTGTATATCTAGTTTAAATTATTATTAATTTTTACATATTTTTGTATATTTTTTTGGTTATACTTTTTTGCTGGGTGTTTAAGACCAAGTAAAGTGAGATCTGTGACAATTAAAATGAACCTCTTCTCAAATATCAAAGTCAATTGAGGCTCCTTGGGTTACTATGGAACCATGTACAGAGCTTCTTAGCTTCTTTGTCAGCGTCCAAGGGATCCCCACTTATTTATCTTAACAAGTATTTTAGATAACTTATAAGAAGCAAATATAACAGTTAACCTTTTAAAGTAGAGTGCTGTATGAGAGATCTTTGATCAAGAAAAAACTCTTAGGTCACTGTATACAGACAACCATAAGTTTTAATATTTATAAAACCAACTCCTGAAATTATTTTGACTGACTAACAACTTGGATGGGGAAAAAGTCACCAACTTTAAAGATTTTTATTTTTACCTACTGATTTAAATTAGCCCACTGTTAAGCTATGTGAACCAAAAAGCATTTGATCTAATATAAGTTCCTTTCTATTTATAAGCCAATGCAAATAGAACAGATATCTGAAAATTGTCATGTAGAAACATATACATTAATTTATATATAAGCTTCATGTTATCAAACTTTAAGACTTTTATTTTTAAATTTCATGTAAACCTCAAGCCCACCAGCTCCTGTAATGTTTTAAGTGAATTTTGCTACTTCCAAAAACCTAGATAACCAGTTTTTATCGAAGGTCCAAGAAAGCCAGAAGTTTACAAGGGCAAAATGAAGAAAAAACAAAATTGATATGTACTCAGAAAGCTTTAACAAAGCAATTGTAGATACCTTAATCCATTTAAATTGACAAACCAGAAACAGAACACACACAACAATTGCTTTTAAGGCAGAGTGCACTCTTAGATATATTGGTTAAGCTGAGTTATAACAGTGTGTTGTAGATCTCTAACTATAAACAGACTAGTCAAAACTCTTTAGGGGTGACCAGTTAGCACAGAGATCTCTTCTAATAAGCTAATTCCAATAAAAGTTAGAGAATGAGGGAAAGCCCCTTTACACTGTGAAAATAAGGACTGCCTGAAGAAAGATTAGGCTGACATCTATCTTATTCTGGACTGTAGCTACTATAGTAAATTGCTCCTCTGACAGCTGTTCCCTTGTATTAGAGGTACTATGGTAAACTGCTTTTGTTAGCTGTTTGCTTGTATTAGTTAGTTATACAGTAAACTGCTTTTGCTAGGGGATGCAGACAGCAGGAAGGTTCATTTTGAGTTTTAGTGGGGTTTTGGGCAAAAGAGATTAGGAGATAAGGGTGCCGCCACCTTATATCCTTTGTTACTCTGTCACTCTCTGCCTAGAAATGGAGAGGATTCCCACTCCACAGGGCAGGTGGACATAGCCAGGCTTTTG